CCCCTGGGCGGAGGGCGGCGGCGGCGGGGGCGCCGCGGAGGGCTGTGCGCGCCCGCCCCGCCTCGCCTGCCGCGGCCGGGGGATTAGTCAGCAGTCTGCGGGCAGCCCCGCTCCCGCGCAAACTCCGCGGCGGGGGCGGGGAGCGGCGCTTGCCCCTTCCCCTTCCCGCGGCGGGGCGGCGGCGGGGCTGCCCCCCCACACACACCCCCCGGCGGTCCGCGCCGCCGCTCCGCGGCCAGGGGCGGCGGGTTGGGAAGTCAGGCACCGAGGGGCTGGGAAACTCCTCTCGGGCACGGCGGCGTTGCGGGAGGACGAGCGCCCGAGCCGCCCCGCGCACGCACACGGGCGGGCGGGCGCGCACACACACCGCACACACACGCACACGCGCGGCGGCGGCCCCCGGCCCCCCGCAGCCGCGGCCGGCGGGGAGGCGGCGCCCGGCGGGGCTGCCCCATGGTCTTGAGGGGGCCGTGGGGGAGCTGCGGGGGCCCCGGCGCGGCGCTCGCTCTCCTGCGCGCCCTCCGCACTAGGATGTTGCGGCAGGTCTTGCACAGGGGGCTGGGGACGTCCTTCTCCCGGCTCGGCCACTTCGTCGCCAGCCACCCGGTGTTCTTCGCCTCGGCACCCGTGCTCATCTCCATCCTGCTGGGCGCCAGCTTCAGCCGCTACCAGGTGGAGGAGAGCGTGGAGCACCTCCTGGCCCCCACGCACAGCCTGGCCAAGATCGAGAGGAACCTGGTGGACAGCCTCTTCCCGGTGAACCGCTCCAAGCACCGGCTCTACTCCGACCTGCAGACGCCTGGGAGGTACGGCCGGGTGATCATCACCTCCTTCCGCAAGGCCAACATGCTGGACCAGCACCACACCGATCTCATCCTCAAGGTAACCCTGGCGGGTCCCCCGGCCCCCAGCATCGCTACCCCGCCTGGCCCGGCGCTCCGCATCCCGCCCCGCTCCCTGCACCTGCCCGCCGGCACGGACCCACCCGCGCATGCCGTGCTCTGCCCGCCCGGCACGGGCGCTGCCACCGCAGCTCCCCGGTCACCTCCCTGCAACAGTTGGGACGGCAGCCCGCCGCGGGGAGCCGGCACCGCGCTCCCCGCCCGCGCCGCGGGCTCCGCTCTCTCGCTCTCTTCCTCCCTTTTTTTCCCCCCCCCCCCCCTTTGCCTTGGATGAGCGAGAAGGGCAGTCTGGCTTGCTTAAATAATTTTTTTGGTGTCTCTACTCTCGTGGCAGTTGTGCTCCCGAGTTAGGGCGTCTCGGGCTTTCATAAACTCAAACTTCAAAAACAGTTAGGTACCAGTCTGTCAGGCTGCCGAGAATGGTTTGGGGGGCTGCTGCTCTGTCTGGACTGCACTTCTGCATGGAGAGGAGTAGCGCAAAACCTTCTTCTCACTGCTCATCAAGGCAAATGACATAACTCAGCAGCTTATTTTTAGTGGGTTGGTTTTTTTTCCCCTCCACTCCCAGCCCACCACCACCGGTTTCATAGATGAAGAGAAAATCCAGCCCAGCTATAGACTGCAGGCATGGTGCAGCCTGTGCTGCCGGTTCAAGTTAGAGCGGGCAGCATCTTCCCACTTGAGCAGCACAGAGTGTGCGAGTCACAATCTGACAGGACATCTCACTGTGCTATATATCATAACATGTCAGAAACCTGCGTTGCTTGAAGCTGGTACTCTAGTTTATGCCCCAGTAGTTTTGAACAATCCTGGAAAGAAAAACAGGGATGATAGATGCAAAAACTTGAGTGTTAAGAGGGTCAAGTTCACTCAAGAAAAAGGAAAGGAAGATTTGGAAATAAGCAGAGGTGTGGCTAGCTCAATCCTGCACATTTTTGCTGTTGCCTTGTGGAAGCCCAAAAGATTTCAGCATTGGTTTGGTTATTTCCCTCTGAATGTCAAACTGTCAGCCCATATAAAAGCCAATGTTAATTCTTCTTTATCGCTTCAAGGAGTGTCTCTTCTAAAATGAAAAAACCAGATGCAAACACCTATTGTAAGAGACTTCAGGGAGACCTCTCTCTTTACTAAACAATTAAATAATTGTTACAGTGAATTTATTTATATTTTATTTCCACTATAGGCTCATACAGAACTGTGATACAAAGCCACACAGTATTTTCTGTTTTCTTTTTGACATATTACCCAACAGTAATGAGCAAACATTTAATGAGTGTCGACTCACTAAGTACAGTAACAGCAATGTTACTGGCGAATGAGAAAACTCCAGAGAAATCATTTTCATTCCTTCATTTTCTTGCACTGTGAATTGCATTTGCATCCAGTATGTGCACATTTACTCAGTCATAGGATAATAATGATAATGGATTTTTTTCTCTGTACTGCTTTCTCTGGAGATCTGTAGTTTTATCAACAGCAGAGTGACACACAAATAAATGGTACTCAGAATCTTTCTGCAGGCAAACTTCTGCATAAGATTTATCACGTCAGCAAAAGAGGTATAACTTAAAAAGTTCTCTCAGTATTTAACACAGCCTCATTTTTAATAGACAGAATTCACTAAAAAATTCTTCTTTTTCTTTTAGTGAGATAATGAATACCATTGCCATTTGATTGTTTAGACATTGTCAGACATGTATGATGCATTATTTCCAACTCTTTATTTATCTAGTTAATTCCAGTATGTTTTGTGTAGAATGGATTAAGTTCCTTGTCCTGATTATGCTTCTGTCTCTGGGCAGAGGCAGGCTCAGGCAGCTGCCTGTCCAGCCTTGTGGATAGCCCATCCCATGGGCCACAGAACGGCAAAACAGGAGGGAGGGCTCCTAGCTCCCAGTATTGTTACATCTGTGGTGATGCAGGCCCACATCACCCAGTGTGACAGGGCCCACCTAGGGAAGGAGAAGGAAAAAGGTGACCATCAAGGCTTTCCTGTACACATTCGGTTGCATGAAAGGGAGAAGGGAGCAAAGGCAGCCCCAGCTGCAGTCCAGAGCCAACCAGCTCAAAGGACTGTGCTTGTAAATAAGTGTCCTGGGTGAAACCACAGAGTAAATCCCACTCACATTTCTGAAGCTGCCATGTAAGCACAGGCAGGGCAAAGAACCTCCATGGCAGCTTTTGCTTATCTTTCCTTTTCTGGAGGATGACCTCCCCAAGGGAGAGGTTTTGCTTTGGAATAAATGTCAGGTTGGACGCTGGCTCCTCCCACATGGCTGTTGCTGCATCTCCACCCACAAGCAGGAGGATGGGAGACACAGGAGGGTGGCTGCCCCAGGCAGATGCTGGATGCTCTTGCAGCACATCTTGTTGGTTTGCTTACCTGCCATAACCCACTTCATCTGCCAAAGAGGGAAAAGAATGAGCCTTGAGCAGCTACAGTTACCCTAGTCAGTGTCAAGGAAAGGGGATTTTCCCTGATCTAGGCAGAGGAAGAAGTCAGCTTCTGTTACTGTTCCTTAGTAAAGGGATACAAAGTTTTGGACTCCAAGCGGTTGAAACTGAAACATAGACGGTCCTGTCAAAAGTTACTCAGTCTAACATCCAAGTCAGTTCATTACTCAATGAAATGACTCTTATGGTGACATCTCTAAAACACTCTGCTTAGCTTAGTGCAGTTCCTGGTGGGCACGTTACCCGGCTGTGTGCTGCACGATGCCTTGTTGCTGGCTGGGAAGGGATTCTGGGCAGGGCTGAGCCTTGGAGCTGTCTCAGCCCAGGGCCAGGCAGCGCTCCCCGAGCAGGAGCTGCTGGAGGGCTCCCGCTGCCAGCGCACATTGCCAGCGCCACGCTGCCTGCTCCCAGCACAGCCCCAGGTCCTGCAGGACGTGCAAGCTGCTCCACACAGGGTCCCTCCTCCTTAGCAGAGAGGTGTGTGCCTCCCTTGTAGAACAGTTTTGCTTTTGAGACGATGCCAAGTACTTTTTTATTCCTTATTTTTGTGTAAATCTCTATCCATCGTTCCCATAGCTCTCTGTAATTGCTTACACCATCCTAGGCCTGCCATCCCAACATTGCATTTCTAGCTGCCATAGTCATTTGCAGAAGGGAGAAATCTAAACATATCCTCAGTCTCTGTTCTTGAATAGGTGTTCCAATAAAAAGCCTTCGTAGAATCTCAGATAGGGAGGAGATGCATCCTGAAACTGAGATACTGTGGGAGGACAATAATGAAATTTTACTTGCTGCAGTACCTGCTCTATAGCTGAGCATAGGGATCTGGCATCCTGTGCTGTTGTTGTGCAGGACGTTTCTTCCTCAAGATTTGTCTTTTGAGAGGCAGAGGTAGGAGGTAAAAACACCTAATTGAAGAAAGTGTGTTTTTACCCCTGTATTTTCCATGAGTGCTTAGAAAAGCAAAAATAATTGGGATACTTGGTGTGGACCATCATGCAGAGGTTCAGATGATTATATAAAGTCTTTAGAAATTCTCTAAGAAAACCTAGAATCCCACCTAAAAATAGTGTTAGAGCAGCCCCTCTATCATTTCATGGTGATATTTTCACTTGCAGTGAGAGACTTGTTAGGTTAAAGTTACACAAACTCCTGGGAATACAGACCTGAACAGATTTTTGAACCTCAGAAAATACATTCTAACTTAGAATTTGAGACACCAATCCTTCTGATTCTGTTTATTCCTGTATTCTTACAGTGAGTTAACTGCACCATACCAAAGACTTTTTTAATTTAAATATTTACCCTTTTTTTTTTCAGAAAAATATTCTCTCTTCCATTTCCATTACTGTGTTTATAACAATAACACAGTACAAATATTTTTTGGGCAAAAACTCCACTTAAGATGTCAAGACATAAAGATGAGAAGGGATTGAAATGTAACACGCCTTACTGAAGGGGATTGTATTTGCAGTTTCCTTCTATAAAAATCTGTAGATGACAGGGGTTTTTTTTTCTTAAAGAAACCTTTACTAACTACAGATTTGTAGTGCTTACAGATTGCTTCTCTCATAAACTGGCCGTTATTTGATCTAGGTAACTGACTAAATATGTATTTGTACACACAAATTAAGTAAGGTCAGGTATTTCTGTTTAAGGACACATTTATTTGAGAACTTCATAACTTCTGATTGCTGCAGAACGAAACAATTTAGCTTAAAAATCTTGCAGACCTCATACTTGTTAGGGTTTTATTTCCTCTCTCTGCTCCTTAATTATGCTGTTCCTGTTAACGTGTGTGTTGGCACGTTCTGTCTACGGTCCTCACGGATTTCCTCACTTACTTTGTACGTGTGAGGAAATTCGTGGAGGAAACAACCGTGTTTAGAAGTAACCACGTTCCCTTGTCTGTGGTATTCCCAATTGCTTTGCTGTACAAACATGGCACACTTAAACCATTATTTCCAAATAATGTGAAGTGATTGAAAGCTGGGTCTGTTGCAATCCTGAGTAACGCAAGGTACCCTTTTTTTAGAAACTTTTGTCTACTCCTGAATGCCTGGACACAGGAAGTCAGCTGTGGATCTAGCAATGGATGCAGTAGGTCTCCACCTTCTCAGGGTAGCTTGGGCACTAAAAACACTTATTGGGAAACAGTCAGTAGAACATACAGTGCATTCTGCTGAAAACAAAATAAAGGATGAAGTCATGTCTTTAGAGCAAGGCTGTAAGATGAGGGGAAGAGTCCTAATACAAGAAAAACAAGGGTGTGAAAGCAGCAGAAGTGCAAGCCTGTTGTCATAGCAGCACAATGCTGCAGGGCTAAAATGTATCTTATGCGAAAACAGATGAGAATTAAGATACGCAGGTAAGATCCAGGCACAGCCAAGGAAGAGGGAAGGTAAATAGCACGTTGCAAGGACAGTGTGGAAGTGTGTGCAGAAACCCCCCTGAGCTCCCGGTGTCAGCAGCAGCAGCTCCTCAGAGTGATTCCTGCAGGCAAGAGGGTTTGGTCTCTCCCGCAGG